CATCAAGTTTGTCAATGATATTACTACACTCGTTTGAAATGTGATGTGCCTAAAAAGGTCCTTAATAAACGATATAATGTACAAAACAATATGGTGTTTTTTCTCTTTAAACTTCAGTTCAATTACGAACAATTAAAGACATGAGTTTGTTTCAGTATGACATAATCGAATGTCTCATGATTTTCTTTATCCCATTTAACTCTTGCTATGTAATAAAATTGATTAAAACATATATTTTTCTTATTATTTTATTTTAAGATTAAATAAACATGCATATCTCCGTCTTGCCCCCTGAATCCATATGATTCAATTGGATGTTACTGCTAAGTCAAATTAATCTCTATAGATCAATGGTAACGTCTCTGACTGTGAAGCTGGGTGATACGGGATCGAATCCGTCAGGGAGCATCAGTTCTCTCAAGACTACAAGATTTATAATATTATACTGATTATTATCTCAAGTGAAGTACATAATATTTTATTTATTTGTATACATAAATATGCGCCACACAAGTCACTTGATTTGTGTGTGAGCTGTAATGCTTCCCGGGTGTCCAAACCAAAGCAGGTGGTTTTCTTGGGGGACTACATCCGGAGCATTTAACCTAAAGGTCTGATCCAAAACGCAGTCGAGCAATGTCAGGAGCGGCAGTCCCATAGTATAGGATAACCAATAAGCGATTCATCCGCCATTTGTTCCCTCAGGATCCCGGAGCCCATGTGCACTATTGGTTCGTATTTTAGATCGTGACTACGATATTGGTTGACAGTTGTTTTGAGTTGTATAGGTTCTTCAACTGTGGGGATGCTGCCCTAACCTTGACAATCCGTGCCTTCATATCTGCCTCACATCCTCCGTGTTCATCGATGATGCTGTCAAAGTATGTGAAAGATTCCTTTGTAAAGTATGTTCGATTGTGTGATGCCTCAATAGTTCTCACATTTTCTCAGATCTCGTTTCTTAGGTACGTCGCTGAGGTGTCCTTCTTTCCAGTTTTCCTGTTGCAAGTGTTCTTCCTCCCACACTTTCCTGTATAGAAGGTTTAACATTTTTGAGTTACCTTTGTGTCTGACATGAGTGTGTTTGCCTATACATTGTCAGGTCCTGCTAAATTCCCATTCTTCATTTGTCTGATAGCCATCCTGATTTCTTCGATCGTTGGTGGAGTGACATGTATAGGAATGTCTGTAGGTGCTGCTTCGATGTCCGGTGGATTCAATGGGGTTAGTCTATTCAAGAGTTCCTCGAAGTATTCTACCCATCTGTTCCTCTGTTCATGAATCTCAGTCATTGTCTTACCATCTTTGATGTTGACCAGTCTCTCTGCTTTAATATATCTTCCTCCAAGTTTCTTCGTTGTGTCATATAGCTGTCTCATATTTCCCTCTCTTGAAGCTTCTTCTGTAGATGCTAGATCTTCTACGTATTTCTGCTTGTCGGCTCTAATGCCCTTTCTTCACTTACTTGTTTGCTTCTTTGTATTCGGCATGATCCTCGACTTTCTCTGTTCTTGTTTGAATGTTGTTATCTGCTGTCATCTTTTCTTCAATCTTGTCCAGGGTTTGCATAGAGATCCATTCCTTATGAAAATGTTTATTGCATCTCAGCACCTCTTGACACGTTGAATTTAGTTCTTCTTTGATCCCTTTTCAGTTGTCTTGCATATTAGTTTCATCTTCTTTGAATAGATCTTGTAGTGCTCAAAACCTGTTGTTGAGTTATTTTGAATTGGTTGAGTTTGTCAGGGAAGGCTTTATTAAACCATTGTCTAGTTATTCATTGCATATTTTGCTTCAGTTTCATCTTGGTCACAACCAGGTGGTGATCTAAATCTACAACAGCTCCTCTCCTGGTTCTATCTAGGGTTAATAATTTGATCAGAATAGTTTTCCAAAGAATTGTAATCAAACTTCAGTATGCCAACTTTCTACTTTTTTTTATAATGTGACTTTAAAACACTAGTTTCCTCATAAATCAAATTAATGATGAAATAAACAAAGAATGTATAGTTAATGTTGAAATGACTCAGATGTGATATACCGAAACCTAGAAAACTGAAATAACTAAAAAAATTAAACAATTTTAAATCTCATTATGAATAACAAATATTTTCTGATGTTACATAAACGACTAAAACTCTTTTGTTTTATCTAATCTAAGAAATTATAATCACACGTTTCTTTTTCAAAAAGAACCTTCACCATTAAGAAAAAATGAGAAAATATCTAATACTACCATAGATTTAGCCCGTTCTGTTTCTTGGAGTAAATCCAATTTATTTTCACTTTTTGTTGCTGTTAGATAGGGTAGGATATTTGGAAAAGGTGATACATTTATGGTTTGTGCTACTCATACGGGTATATATATATATATAGGAGATTGGAAGTAGGATTCTTATTGAACGAAGAGGAAAATGACGAGTAGCAGAAGTGGTCCGGTTAGCATCAGGAATGGAAGAACGATGGATTTTGTAGAACACATAATTCAAATGATTTATCCAATGTATTGTTTTCATATTTTACGAATGCAGTGTGTGAATCAGCATGATACAACTGATTAGTTAACCCTTATTCAAGTCTCCGTTCATTACATTTTTAAATCTATTTTAATTGTATAACTGCGAAATATTGGACTGATAATATTTTTATGTTATCCTAATTTACAAGATTTCATTGGGCTTACTACCCAGTGATATCGGTTTCATCGTTCTTAATGTATTAATTAATTATGCACCTATTGCACAAATTATTTCCCATTGGTGATGGAGTAGGACCATATAATTACTGTATCAGTTTTCGAGTTATAATAATATAATGTATGCCGAATTGCTGTCTTCGTCTCCTGATTGGTTATCTGAAATAAAATAAACTGAGTGTGGTAATTGAAATCAGTGGTAGTCTATTTGTATTATTGATTACAGAGAAGGTCAATAATATGAGTGATATAAGTGAACCCGTAATCAGTGAATTGTATAATCTTATAATAAGATTAAGTGGTTTGTAAGAAGTTGAAGGTGATAACAGTTACAAGTATTATATTATTCATTAAAATGCCTTTTTAATTAATTCAAACACTTAATGATTCTTATCAGAAGGGGTTTTGTGGAGATTGTAATAATTTCAGTAGTTGAGATCGTGAGTCGATTAAAGCTGGACCACCATGGAAAACCTGGAAGCACTGTCAATCTAATCGATTGAAGTTTCACAAGTCAACTAAATCACTTACATTATGTGTGGAAAAACCAGTTATATGAAAGCAATCAAAATAGCACTAACCTCCAGAAACTAAGTCGACCAACAACCCAACCCAGTGTACTAATATCGGACCATAAAGCAGTGAATCCTACTCAGTTGATGACAGTAAACTGTGTTTTGCCGTACGAGGGTATCTCCAACCAACAAACTGACCAAACAACGCTCATTCGTGATTGTCGAATATGAAAACCCGTTAACACTTAAATATACATTACTTACACGTGTAATTGTTTATCCACTTCACATTAATAGACTTGCACTAAAGTTGTTTATATTTGAGTAGGATGTCAAGCCGTCGTCAGTCTATCAGTTACAATTGAAACTGCTCTGAAGCAGATTAAACGGAAGATTATTTCTCTAGAGGGATTGGGAATGTGCAACTGCTGTCAGTCGCTAACAGAGACGTGACAAACTGAGTGCCACTGAAACGCTGAGTCCTGAAATGTAGCGCCTCCTACACTTTCTTGGTGTAAACAGACCTCTTTATTATGGATCGTTATATGGATGTCGTGATAGATAAACTGAACGACCAAGAAAACTAAACTCAGTTTGCTTTTCCGATTCTCCAATCGGTAAATTTCCCGATATCAAGAATATAGTACGATCCGCTTTCAGTCAGGTAAGTAATGTGAAGAGTTTGCTCAAAAATATCAAAAAGCACTTCACTTGTGAAAGTTATTGTCAGGTCAGATTATACTATTAATATAGTGACCATGGAACAAAAGATCATAGTAACAAAGATAGTACGGAAGTAAGCCGTTCGAAGTGATGAGAATCAGAATAAAGCTCAGTTGTATACGGTAATACTCACCAAAACAATTTCAATAACTTCGTTGGAGGTCTTACAATATTCGACAGACCGAAATCACTATTTCTACGGTTATTTTTTACAAACGCTACAAATACTGAAATTATTACCCTAATCAGACAACGGGGATTAACTGTACCGAAACACTGAAAACCATCTAGCTATCTATTCGATACCGTTACTTAGCAATTTCATACAGAATTAATATTCTAATTCAAAATTGATGACATGTATAATAACCAACTGCTCTTACACGAAACTAACCAACTGAGAAGTATTTCCGAATTTATATATCACGCGTGAAATAATGGTAACATCTGAAACTTAGTCCATTAGAAAATCCAGTCAACTCTAATTTAAAATTTGAGGTAATTTATAGATACTAGTACGAGCACCCAATTAAGAGTTCAATCTTGTAGTTAGTACACAGAAAGTAACTGCATAAAAGTAATTATATATAGTCTGCTAAAGTGAATTCACATAAAGAACAAGAACTTCATTGTAGCAATTGCCATTGCTTGCAGTTCGTATGGTGAAATGGACTGAATTTAAGTGCGGAAATGTGACATTCTAATAAGCAATTTCTTAAACAAACGAATCCTAGAAACCACTTGCTGTTCACAATTACTATAAAAACAAAAGCTGTATGTCTTTATCGGAATCTGCTAGGTATCGTTTAATCAAAGGGCCTAACTATCAGAAAATCCGACGCCATATTTTCTTGCATCCCGGCGTTATTACTTCAAACTAACACTACAGTCGCTACTAGTCCTGACTAGACAAGAACCGAGCATACCTCATTTTGTTTTCTTCAAGTTAATTGTAATACGAGAATCTTGGTTTCAACAAAACTTTTATCGTTTACGTAGGACAACTGGCCTTAAGTTGCTTGGAATTACGCCGCAAATTCGGAATCAAAAATTAACTAAGCCGGAGTAGAGCATATAACAATTATTGGGTTATATGACCATAATTACATAGTTCAAATACAATATTTCACAAACCATCCAGTTAGTGAGACAACAAAGACACTAATTGCAGAGACCTGAAATGCATCATGAAAGCATATTTCAAGAAATTTCCTACAATGGCAAACTTAGATGGCTTAATAAGGCGCTGGACGTGCCCGACCTGTTCCAACACTACTTCCACGCATGGGACCACCACCTCGACCTCCTCGATTGGCGCTTGAAGTAGGATTCATTGCCCCGCCTCGTCCAAATCCAGGATTGCTCTGTTGAGAACTGGAATTCATAACTGCAGCAGGTGGTTGAGCACTTCGACTAGTTGCATTCAAGTTATTTCTAGAATTCGTATCAGGATTACTAGATCCATCGCCTGAACGAGTTGACTGAAAATTAAATGCAACGATTATAATGATTAAAAATGGTGATCAGATGAGTTGTCGATAAACAAAATGAGATAGCAAGAATTTTTAGCGATGTAGTTGGCAAAAATCTCTAAAATGATAATGAAACGTAGAAAAATGACGTACATAACCATCCCAGTGATAAAGTTTATAGCATAAGTAAATGCTTTTAAGTTGTAACTTAGCCAAGGAATTACATCAGTATTTACAAATGAGGTTAGTTGTAAGGCTGAATATATATATTTTATGAATCAAATCTGGAAACATCGATGACAAGATTTCTTACTTCCAACAGTAAAATTAGTGCACAAATCAATTAAATACAGCTCAAGACCATAACAAGCAAGGTGGATATCTGTTATCATCTGCGATGATGATATAGTCCTCAAACCATGTAATTTATTCACAAGTCGGCAACCTACTTATGCAAGACTGAGACTTAAGACGTCAACGAAAAAGAGGTTCACTTACTGAAAAGGTAGTTTAAACTCCTATTACCACAACGAGTTTTAACGGAGTTAGTTTTATTATAAGACAACTACGATTCGTAGATAATGCTTCAAACTCTATAAACGTTTTGTTTGACATAAGGGTAGCAAAGTTGTCGTGATTAGTTTCACTGCTGTTTTTACGTACCAGCACGTTCAACGAAAGAAATAAGTCTATGTACCTCTTATCTTTCCTATCAAGTCGTTAGTAGCGCTTAATTTCCCGTATCTGTACATATACTGATCTACATTTTTAAAAGTAATACCACTGAAATAAGAGAAAATATTTAAGGACAACAAAATAATAACCAAGACTGCAACAACGTTTATTTCACACAGAACCTCAAATATAAATTAAAATACTTTAGAATAAAGTGTCCTCACGCATTAAAACTACATACTGTTTAAGTACAAAAAATTATGAAAAACCCACCTGGCACCTATTACATTGTTCTCGCCATGAAAAGTTGATATTACCACACTGTGGACAGCTCCAGTCGCCTTCCCTTGAACCTGCTTGAGCCGAACCGACGCTAGGTCGTACAGAAGAACCATTGGTAATTGCTCCACGGGCACCTCGAGAGGCTGTGCTTGCTCCGCGACCCATACCTGGATACTCCTTGGAATCAAAGTGGGCAGCCAGCTGAGGGTTGTTCGCTGTAAGAGTAGCAAGGCTGGCGGCAGCAGCCGCACTGTTATTCATCAAACTGGCAACAGTGTTCCCACTGGCAGCCGCAGCCACAGCTGCAACTGCCAGAGCAGCAGCAGGATTGTTTGGTCCATTTCCATTTCCTCCCAGCAAACCACCTCCCCCAGGAGGGATAATAACTGGTCTTTGACTGTTAATAGCTTGTTTGACTTCAATCTTTCTTCCCAAAAATTCATGCTCTAGTAGAAACACAAAATAAAAAACAATCAGTAACGACGAGTGAAACATATCAGGAAATGTTGAAGTAAACCATGTTAGGAAAATACCTTTAAACCACTGAATAGCCGATTGGACACAACTTGGATCTTCATAAGTTACAAGCGCTTCGCCTTTAGGTATACCTTTTTCTTTAAATATCCATATCATGGGCATACCGCTTTTGGAATTGATCTATATCGTAAATTACCATTACTGTAAATAGATACCTTGATTTTCCCGACGACACCAAATTGAGACTTCATCACATCGTGATCAATATTTTGAGGCAGATTACTGACAAAAATTGTATCCTCCCGGAGTCCATCAGCTGAACAATCGGTTTTACTTTATGAATGAATAACTTACGATTAGTGACACTGGGCAAGTTGGAACCCGATCGAGAACCTAAAAAAGTAGGACGAGAAATATGACTCATATAAAAGCTGCTGAGTTTTCAGCTATCAAATTTGGAAAATTCACTGGAAATCACTTACCGCCAAACTTGTTATATCCACCTCTTTGGCTGAAAAACACTAATCTTCGTTAAATTCAAAATAGTGAAAACACAAAAACACCAGAAGACAACTTGCTTCTGTAAAAAAAATATTAAAGTGGGGGAGCCAAAAATACCAAGACTCACACATATACCATAAAACCATTGACTGGTAATTACCAACAAAGTTACCCAAAACACTGACGAAAAACACAGCTCCCACTCAAATTGAACCAAATACGCGACTGATTGGGAGACACTCAAAAATTTCGATCAAAACTCAAAACACCGTTCGATATTCAGATGTACCAAAGATTTTGGATTTAACATACCTGCTGCCTCTTCCAGAGCCCAATCCACCGCGAGTGTTCGTGCCAGTTGGGTCTTGGAGGAAAGCGACTGGATTAAAACCTGAAATTCAGAAATCCCACATTGTCAAGAAAATCTAACCTGCAAGTCCTTGTTCGTGAGCTATGGCCTCTAAAATCGCTCCATTAGCAGACATCGTTTGCCCAAAAGCATTAGCCATGAGTGGCCCAAACTGTTGCATATCTTCAAAAATAAGAAAAGGTTATAGTGCAGTACCGGTACTGAAGCCCGCTTGGACAGCTGACAATCCAGGGGGCATACCTTGCCCCATTCCAGGATACTGATTGAATGAACCAGAGAAATTAGGGTAAGCAAAGCCTCCGGCAGCTGAAAATTATAAACAACAAGTTATCAAACAAACCGGGTTGCATAGGGACTTGTGAACCGTCTACCTGACATACGGGAATCGAAGAGGTTTGGTTGTAAGCAGAAGCTGTTTGGTCAAAATTATATGAAGCCGCTGACTGAGCCCCAAACATAGAGCCTGGAACTCCAGCAGCTGGATTTCCTTGTTGAGAAAGCGCATAACCTTGAAGCAACTGAGCGTTTTGATCACTTGCTGTTGGATAGTGGAAGGGAGGGTAGCCAGCTTGACTAGCCTGTTGCATGTTAGCATATGCGAACTCTAAAACCAAGAAAAGGACATATAAACTTGTATTTTGGTCAACAAATAAAAGTTAAAATTCATTTCGGCAAACCAAGTATTAGGTTACTTGCCGGTTAATAACGCAAGACATATAGAACAAAAAGCACATGCAACTGTATTTAGATAAATGGTAAGTCAATCAATTCACTTTGAGGATTTAGCTTTATTTAACGTTTTCCAGGCCAACTGACTTGACTCATCTAAAGGGGAGTTTGAAATAATTCTTATTTATTACAACAATCAGTAAGATGTTTCATTTAGGCAACCAACATCTGCAGCGGTGCTGCATTTTCAGAAAGTTAGGGCCAAGGAGGATTGACCCTAAATATTTCATCCTTCACTATTTCAGGGATTGCCATCTTTGATGGTTGGGCTTTCCGGAGTACGAAGTCAACACCAAAAACTCACAAAAGGTCGTGTGATTGACCTTCTATCGTCTTCCTCTGGGCCTTGTTAAACGCTCCTCGATTGGTACGAGTACTACTCACCTTATTCAGGTAATTCAAAAAGAAATACTTTATCACACAACAAGCAACCGTAAATTATTAGCCGCCCTTGTTCTTCGTACAGCACTAGAGATGGAAATACATTTTGGAAAAAGCTCCTCATGTTAGCACACCTCAAGCGAAAAACCACAGGTGCAACCGTGAATGCATGAAATAAGACCGGTCGAACTGAAGTAGGAACTATAATTAGAAATGTATTACATACTGAGACAAGTAAACAGTGACAAGACGATTAGATATTAAAGCTGTGACTCAAGTAGTTAACCTCGAACCCGATGTCTGCTAGCCTAAGCTCACATGCCAAAACAAAAAGAATCTAACGAGTAGAGATAGTGATGTCAACGGTCATGGAGAACCAAGAAAATGTCCAGAGAGTGAACGAAATATGGGAACATTAACTCTACGTCGACTGATCGCTAGTCGTAGCTCGAAGGACATCAAAGCATATCATTTACTCAGTTCGTCACTCAATAAAATACTAACTCCAGAATAACCCCAGCATTACATGCATTTTTGAAGGAATCCGTCACTTGATCCCTGCTACAGATAAATATGCAGTCGTCGGTTAGGACTGTAGTGCGCGAGATTGCTCTAAGCGATCAGAAAAGTCGATTGACTTCGCTTAAAACCGGTCAGTGGTGCAGATGCATTTCCTCTTCATTTTCCACCGACCTCTAGGCTTTATCATTACACTACACTTGCTAATCCTCAAACTCATTCCTTGTTTTTGAACCATTCATAATTCTTTAAAGCCAACTACACGATAAACATATGGAGACGGGAATATATTGCTTGAGTAAGAAAGTAACTAACGTGTATGCTACGCCATTAGGCATTTGTTGTACTTGAATCTGTCTAACCTGTTACGTCATTGGTTGGATGATGCGATTAAGACACATCACCGTACAGTAAGACTGAGTCAGTTGAGAAATTCAGCTTCTTTTAAGGTAAAAGAATTAACACATCACAAGCTTCTGGCAATTACTTTTCGTACAACTTCGGGAGCGCGACCAAAATTAAATAATGTTTTCGAACAGGGCGAAAACTCACTCCGATGTACCCGGACACTTAGCATTAAATAGGCTGTTGTAGTTGTTCATACCTGGTGTTGATCTTGAAATGAGGGCGATAGGAATAAGTGAAATGAGCCATTAGGCTTTCGAGCTTCTCGAGTGATACTTTCAGGTCAGCATGCCTAACCGTGCTTGAACTACACAACTTATGGCAAACTACGTAATTTACAGTTGCGGGTTTGTTATACAGAGGCCCAGTCAGATTATCTTAGCCATTTGATAGCAATTTAGTCTACGAATGACTGAAAATAAACGGGAATTGCCGTTAAGTAAATTGCCAGTTCCACACGACCTCTTAAATGGCCAGCAACTGGTAAAATGATTGAAACACAGAAAAGTCCAGGACTTATAAAATGAAAGACAGTCCCCAAACTAGTTAGCTTTTATCCAAGTTGACTACAAACTAAAACGTAAAATGAAAAGAACAGGTAACTTTTCTACTCACGATCAGCCATCTCTGATTAGCGCGTAACAACTGTCTTTCACTGATTAAAACACTTACAGTTATCAAGTAAAACTCCCTTCACTAGAAATACCAAAGTATAATATACCAGGAAGAAAATCTATTTTAGTTCTCCATCATAAGCAAATTACCAACGAAACATTCAACTTCACTTGGTCAAGGTAATGGATGTCGCATTTACTTAGCTATGGTGTCTGATGATACAGTCTTCAGTCTTCACTAATAAGGATAGGAGGTTTGTGTAGTGAAGACAGAACGCCTACAGCCCATGTTGTTCCTTTTCTAGTATGCTTCTGTAAGTGTCTAGTCTTCTCTTGAATGTGTCAATTGAAGGCACGCACAGCACTTCTTCAGGTAGCAGGATCCTAGGATTTATGACTCTGTCGGGAAACCTGTATGCTACGGGTAACTTGTTCGTTCTTGATTTTTCTGCTCGCCTACTGTTACCTCTGAGTTTTCCAAATCTGTAGAAGGAAAAACAGAAGATTTATCAGGTCCAAAATCATTTCTTCGTACTATATACATCAAGATCAGATCACCTCATAATCTGCAATAGGACAGAGTAAAGAGGTCTAGCTTATCAAAACGCTCTTCGTCTGGTAAACCTCGGAGTTTTGGAATCTCTCGGGTAACTGCCCTCTGTACATTTTTCAAGATACCCGAGTCACCTTTCAAACAGGGCTTGCAGTCTGAAGAATTTTTAAATTTAGTTCTCATCGAGGTTGTGCATACTGTAGTGAACACAGCAGTATCTAAGTCCGTAAGTCTTTTTTGAAGCTCAAAATGTTCTAAACCTCTCAGCTACAACCTCGTGGCAGTGAGCCATGGTCGTTAATTCATGACCCAACGTCACCCCGAGATTCTTATGAGACCGGACTACGAGTGCTGGCGTTTCTCCTACGCTATACCTATTTACATTCGTATCCTCAAAGTGCATGTAAGCTCACTTTGCTGCGCTGATAGACACCAGCAATTTTTTAGATCAGCTAATCATAAAGTGGGCATGAGTCTGTGTCTCCTGATATTTCCCACCAGATTTTTACATCATCAGCGTAACGTAACATTGGGGGCTCAAATATATTTGTGAGTTCATTTAGATACACTATGAAAATTGAAGAACCAAAGACAGGACCTCGCGCTACTCCACTAAGTACTAGTCTCCAGAAGAAGCACATAGAATTGATTCTTACTTTCTGTCTATAACCTATCAGGAAATCGTCAAGCAATTTTAGAGCAAGTCTGCTGACGCCCCCACTTTCTCTTTATTCTGGTGGTTGACTGAATTATGAAGAACTCCATATCTCAAGTGAAACACGGAATACAAATAGATTATTTGAACTTTGAGGATGACCTGGTTCTTTTATTTCATACTCGCGAACAAATATAAGTGAAGACAACAAGTGTAATGGCAGCATCTGTAGCAGTAGGTCACATCACACACAAGCGAAAAAGTGACATCTTCAAGTACAATATGGAGAATACCAACACAATCACACTTGATGGAGAAACTGTGGAAAAAGTGGAATCATTCACGAAATCCACTGCGGCAGACAATTTTTGACTTTAAGTTCGGGTCTAGTTCTTCGTCCAGAAGAGGCTCCTGAGTGAAAATTTTCCTGAGATAGTATGCCATAGCCTCTGATTTCTCTTGATTATCCTCTATCATTTCAGATCTACTCCTGTAATTAGATTGAGAATCCAATGCTGTGTCCTTGTTCTGTGATTTCTGTACGAGAATAGTCTCTTGGGCTGCTTGGCTACAGATTGTTAGTTATGTCCACAACTAACCAATCAAATCGTTGTTTAAGAGCCCATCACGTCAATCTGCTCTGATGTGTCTGTAGACTATCCCTGTTGCATATTACCTGTCAATCGAAGGACATTATTATTGTATTATATTAGCGTGACTCATAATTTTTATTTACTTCGTCGACATGCAATAATGGTAGGTATGTTTGTGTGTTCCAACTAATATGTATAATTCATTTGATTATTGTACTGATCGAATTGTTTTAACGTTTAAAAAAGGACAAAATTTAGAGCCAAGTTGTCCTTGTTCTGACTATAGTTTTCACGTAGACTATGGGATCTTCAGTATCGCGTTTACAGTTCTAGCAGTATATCTGCAGGACAAACTAAATCCTACACAGATTGAGCTAACTGAATTTCATATTTTCACTGAGCTTCCTGGATTTTAATTATACACTTATTTTGTACCGACCTGTAACGTTCCACCGCACTTGCTACGCCAAAGCTAAAGGCTATGTTCCAATATTTCTTCTTTTGTTTTAGTAAACGTCAAATATCCCGATCTATCCAGTGATAGACGATCTTCTTCTTAGGGACTGTCCATTGCATTCCGCGACAAGCGTACTCAGAAAATGAGGTGGTGAAGAAAATAGAATGAAGTAGAATAAAGTGTCAGATTCCTCTGATAAATTACATGGAAGACAAAAGTCAACTTCTAAATAACTTCACGAATATTCTTGATTTGAACCTTTTAACAGTATACATATCCTATACTACTATGGTTAAGCTACTAATTAAGGTATTCCACACCCATTATTTCTACCCACAGTGTATGTCCAGACTCTGCAAATACTCTTGAGCTTCCCTTCAAACCCCAAACTTGATTGACTGAATTAACGAATTATTTGTTCCGTCGAATCTAATAGGCACTGATTGGTTGTGAAATTTGTACCTCTCAAAACCAGAGAAACAATAAGGGGCTCATACCCATATAAATCTACTGTCTTAGATCGAACCTGATCAGAATCCCGAATCGACGTCCAAATCTACTTTGCCTGTATCCTCCCGAGAGCAAACAATCATTTAAGTGTATTCGTACTCGTATGCAAAGTGAGTAATGAGGTGGAGCTTACAATCAGAGACCAATAACCTTGCAAAGGTCATGGAAAGACTTATGAATAAGTTTATCCGTTTCACCTATCAATCCTTTGATAAAGACAGATTTGGAGAGAGATACAATACTCCTCTGATACCTTGATTCTTCATGAGGACTTTAGTAAGATATACTAGTGGACCGACTGAAATTTCTGCTTTTAGTGCTAGAAAATACAGAATGTCGGTGCTGAGTGATGGTTACTATTTACCCACCTCCCACTTTCGTATGACTTCGGTTTTAAACTCTTCATCACAGGGAGAATTTTAGTTACCACTCTATGCGATATCCCAAGTTTCTCCTTCAAACGGCATTCTGCACCCAACGTAGCATATTGTCTTGGGTTTTCTCCTCAAAACATTGGGTGCGCTGTATCTCAAATTGCTCAAAACCGCCCTTGGTGTCCACCCAAGACTTCATCTGGATGAAAGTTCTTCCATAATATCTTCTTACATTTAGAAGAAACCTCACTTTTACAACGTATCCGGAGAATGACAGTTGAAAACGTTGTCGGACTAAATAATAAACCCTACCCACCTCAATTCGGACCATTGGACTAGCAACCAGTTTATAACAGAAACACGGCGTGAATATAAGCATAACGTTTCATGACTTTCATGATCCCACCCTAATGGATTACTGGTATGATATGTTAGCAGTATACATATGGGTTCCCGTCTATTTAAGACAAAACGCAAAAGAGCTCCTGCAGAAACTCGTACAAACATTTGTTCTGGATCAGCAAGTTGTGAAATTCCCTATGTTAAGTGATGGTTATGGCACATTCTTCCGAACCTTTTATAAGAAGGATGATGCTCGCTCTGACACTGTAGTTACTAGAAATGGTTACAATCAGCGTTACTCCTCAACAAATTCCACTATTACCCAGTTTGTTTTTGCCCCTCCAATTCACAGGGAGCATAAGTAGAACCATACCCTCTCGTAACCAACAGGGCCCTTATACTCAAGTTCATGTCGCAATGAGTAGGCAGCTATCTAGCCTGAAGATTGAGTTACTTCTCTGGGACAGAAGGATAATCTTTGTTTTGACTCCTAAGTAAGTCAAATGTTAGCAGACAAAAATTTGAGTGGAAAGGAAAACAGAATAATCTCTGGCGAACTACGTGGCAAGACTGTATTTATGATATTCATTTCCGCAATTTTTAATCACTATGGCTACGTTATTGTCTTGCCATGGAGTCGAAAAAATCTACACCACTGCCTCTGTCACATTTTTTAAAAGCCTGATAACCAATCTTTACTTCAGTTAGTGTTATTATAAATTCCTACTTTCCCAGTTAATGTCAAACAACTATAAATATGGTTTACTGTGGTGGGGTCATTGTTTATATTATGAAGAACCTGATAACAGGCTGAGCACTATTCTTGTGTGTTTGACTTGTTCCTGATCAGTGGTAGCAGAGATAGGAGATAATATCGACCATATACCCCAAGAGACATTTAACTTACTTCCGTATGACTGTAACCACTCGTAGAGGAACATAGGTCGCACATCAGCACTCTCCGTCTAACTCTGTCCTGAGATATCATTTCCAGTTGTTTCCAGTTGCTACTCATCCTTATCATGTCTCCTTCCCATTCTCGAAGCAGTATGTTGTTTGATCTTCCTCTTTCCTGTTTTCCTTAGGATTCCAAATTAGCGCTTGTCTTGTGTTGCAGCCTGGTAATTTTCGTGATGTATGTTCTATCAACTTCCAACGTCTTTCCCTAATTTCCTCTTCAGTTGGAAGCTCGTTTGTTCTCTCCCACAGAAAGCTGATGTTGATGGTGTCAGGTCAACGCATTTGACCTAAAAGTCTGATCCAAAACGCAGTCGAGCAATGTCAGGAGCGGCAGTCCCATAGTATAGGATAACCAATAAGCGACTCATCCGCCATTTGTTCCCTCAGGATCCCGGAGCCCATGTGCACTATTGGTTCGTATTTTAGATCGTGACTACGATATTGGTTGACAGTTGTTTTGAGTTGTATAGGTTCTTCAACTGTGGGGATGCTGCCCTAACCTTGACAATCCGTGCCTTCATATCTGCCTCACATCCTCCATGTTCATCGATGATGCTGTCAAAGTATGTGAAAGATTCCTTTGTAAAGTATGTTCGATTGTGTGATG